ATTACATGATAAAATTAATTATAAATTTAAAATTATAACTTCCTTAAAATAGCGGTATTGAAGTGTATTTGAATAACCACAAACAAGCAATTACAAATCCCAAACTAAGGTTTCTAAACAAATGATCCAAATACTCAAATCTTTTTCCAAATTCTATTTATCCATATAAACTCCATCTTGGTATAAGATATTTTTTCATTGGAGAATCAGGATTGTTTGTTTTCAGTTTTTGAAAATTGGTTCTTGTTTGAAAACACAAATATTTAAATACTTGTTTGTATAGTGTTTTCAATTTAATTGTTTCTAAAACTCTTTTTTTATTTTTAAAAATAAAAAATGATCTCAAGTTGTTTTCATTTTATTTATCTTATTTTAAAAATAAATTACATTTAATTATTAAAAATTATAGTTATTTGAAAAAATTGGTGAAAATGACCTAGTTAAAATCAAAATTAGTCCCAAAGATCAAATATATTTAAAGGACCAAGTCTATTATTATATTCACAAAATATTTTTTTGTGTTGGCTGAAATGCCCTTGTGTGAAATTCTCTCTTTGCACCCCCTAATCGGAGAACCACCAAAATGCCTTTGAAATTGTTGAGTTTGAAGATGATTGGCAATGGCGTCTCTTCCCACTACCACTGCCTCTACCTTTGCCTACTAAAGGTGATTGGCAACTCCTCCCTCCATCGCCTCCTCGTCTATCACCTTAGATCTCGTTCTAAATCCCACTACATTGTATGTGAAACCAAAAAATTTGTGTTTTCACCTATAGAGGATGCTGACGAAATGAGCTGCATCACGGGACAAGGCTTGAACATGGTAGGGCATAGCCTAGTTACGGATTAAGCTAAAAAGCTGTTGTTTGTAAATCTCATATCTCAAATTTATATCTCTGATAAAGAAAAATTGCAAATGTGACATCACTCAAGTTGAGGAATCCCTGTATAGAAGGTCGAGCTAATATTCATTTGACAAAAAGGAACCAAATGACCTCTTATTGTGTAAAACCAAGACGATTGAATCTCTCAACTACAGTAGGACTATCCTATGCCATATTTATCTTTTTTAGAAATTTTCCACATTAAATCTCTAGTATCATCTTTATTTTGTTCTTCTCTAATTTTCACAAATTGATATTAGACATTAGCAATGTGGGGAAAAATGTTCAAAGAATCACAGAGAGAGCTATATATATTTATTGGTATAGAATTGAAGTCTGCTTCAATTTTTTTACTCTAATATTTGATGCTCATATAATATTGTTTGAACTTGACTTGCATACTGCTCCTTATGAACAAAAACTTCATATCAATATAATATAAATGCTTCTAGTGTGGTTATATTCTTTAGACTTGTGTGACTTGAATGATAAAGATAATGCTTGAATAACAATCATTTAGAAAGTATTATCATTCATTGTAATATCAACAAAACAACTATTATACAAAGATAAGAATAACTCTTCATTGTCTTTGCAAATTAGCTTTTGTATCTCTCAATTCTACCAACATTTGATGACAAACTCGACATTCTCAAAATTAGAGTCAATTCCACCGATTATATACACTCAAATGCGATCATCAGATCTCATGTCTTTTACATTTTTTTTGGCCAATTCATGTATTCTACATAAAAACAAGGCTTAATCCGTAATTAGAGTGTTAGTTAACCAAATAAAATAAAAAGATAACTATGGTTTAAAACATACATCTTATAAGTTTACTCCCCCTTTTCTTTTAAATCAAAGTCTCTGTGGTGTAAATTAGTTTTGTAATATTATAAACCAATTGAGAACTCTTTTATGTGTTTCTTCTACCAAATTAGTTTTTGTCTATTTCTATTTATCTTCACCTTTCTACTAGTTTGTAATTTGGAATTTGGTCAATTTATACATTGATTTTGATAAAAATTGTACCTTGCTTTGTTTTTCATTTGCGCAACAATTATCTCGCCCTAGAATATGCATTAGCCGATCAGTTAACTTTAAAGGCTGATGTATATAGCTTTGGAGTTCTTGTATTAATAGCAAAAGTAGTTCAACAGCAACTTAAGGAGGAACTGAGAAAGTCCTCTTGGAATGGGTAAGTTTTGTTTCTTACCTTTGCAAGGTACCATGTGACATAAGACAGATACCTAAAATGATGCCTGGATGCCTTTTCATTTCACAAATTCTCATGTTTTCTTTCATTAATTTAGTCATGATCATAGTTTCTCACTTGCTGCTTAGTACCTTAGAGAAAAAGCAGATGATTGACTGATTAAAGGAGAAAATTCTCATAATAATTTCATTTTGGATGAACATCTTATAACCTGAATGTAGTATGGCATGAATCACCTACTTGTGATGGCTACTAATTTTTATTTCAGGCATAATGTTTTAAAAATACTGAAGCATAAGATTTTGTTTGAAGATGAGAAAAAATAAGTTCAAGCCAATAAGCTCTTGCAAATTCAACTTATGCATGTTATAAATCAAGTGAGTTACAAAGAAATGTTGATCAAGGAATTTTTCTGCAAGATTGAATGAAATTATGATTGTACTTTAAAATATACTAATGACCATCCCCTTAATTTCTTTTTTTTTTTGTATAGGGTTAGATGTAAATTAACATGGGTATGAGGCTATTCTTAACTCCTTATGGTATATTTTTTAACACGAGGTACCCTATGGTCTTGTTTATTATTTTGATTGTACTTGATAGAAAGATAAATCAAACCTAATATAATTAGTATTCTTTCATTGAAATTATTATTATTCATTATCGCTCTTCACATTTTCTTAATTTTTTAGGACAATTCAGTTGTTCTCCATGTTACATTGTTGAATTCGCATCTTTTACAAGTTAACATGGCTTGATATACAATGTATAATACTTAAAAAGAGAGAATTTATTATAAGTATTCCCTTATTTATTTTTTTTATGTAAGTTAGGATATAGTTTAATATAAGCATGATCTTGTTCATACTCCCCATAATATATATTTTGATTTGGGGTACCAGAATCAAAAGGTGTAAGGATATTGGCTTGAGGGGTAAAGGGAATGGCTTAGGTGCAAGACTTCTGGCTGAAGGTGCACATGTTATAGTTTAGGATGTAAGGCTTTTGGTTTGGGTGTAAAAGGGATGGCTTAGGTGCAAGGCTTTTGGTTTAAGGTGCATGCACTATGGCTTAGGGTGTAAAGCTTTTGGCTTAGTCATTTTCATGTAATTTATAGTCATTTTCATGTAATTTAGGGCACTGACAATGGTGTACTCTCTGTATGTTTGATTTTTATGTAATCCGTTAGATATTACATGTCAATTATTCCTTAGGCATGCTTGTGAATTTCTTCATATATTGATTTACATATAATCTGTCATAATTTTCATGTAATTTAAGGGTACTAACATAGATGTATTCTCTGTGTGTTTGATTTACATGTAATCTGCTAGAGATTACATTTAAATCATTCCTTTGTCATACTCGCAAATTTTTTCATATGTTGATTTACATATAATCCATAATCAATTTCATGTAATTTTGGGGGATTGATAGGGGCATGTTCTCTATGTATTTGATTTACATGTAATTTGTTGGAGATTATATGTAAATTATTCCTCAAGCATATTCGTAATTTTTTTTCTCATATCGATTTACATGTAATCCATAGTATTTTCATGTAATTACAGGGTTATTGACAGTGGATGCTTTCTATGTATTTGAATTACATGTAATTGACAAGATATTATATGTAATTATTTAAGCTAGAAGCGTTGCACTCTAAGTCAGAACACATGTACCTTAACTCAGATTCCTTGCACTTTAAGTCAAATCTTTTGCACCTAAGCCAGAAGCCTTCCACCTCAAGCCAAAAGCCTTACACCCCAAGCTAGAAGCCTTACACCCTAGCCATAACCTTTGCACATCAAGCTAGAAATCTTGCATCTCAAGCTAGAAGTCTTGCACTCGAGCCATAACCCTTGTATCCCAAACTAGAAGGCTTGCATCTAAGTCAGAATCTTTGCACCCTAAGTTAAAATTCTTATACCTTCTACTTGTCAAGTTTACATGTAATCCTTGATGATTACATGTAATCAAGTGGTATTGATTTTTTTCGATGACACTTTTCAACGACCCTTCACTTGCCGATCGAGCTCTAGCAGGTGCATTATCACTTGCCTGAACTCCGACGATTGAATTTTGTGCCTTTTTGAAAAAAAAAAAACACAGAGGGGTATTTTAGTTATTTGTTCAAATTATTTAATAAATAAAATATTAGCTTTAGTCCTTTAAGTACATTTAGTCCTTATAGCCAATTTTATTTATAGCTATGTCCTTTTCACCAATTTTTTCTAATTATTTTGATTAATTTTTTTTATAAATCACTACTATTAATGGCCTATAATCATTACTATCAGTGTATTTTTAATTCCAAAATTTTTTTTAAATTAACATAACCAAACTGATTTTAATTATGTTTTGTTTTAGAAATAATTTTAAAAACTTTATTACAAAATAATTTTAAAAAGTTAAAGTATACATTTAGTTTTTTAATTTTACACAACATTTTATTTTTGTCTTTTAACTTTATAAATTATTTTTTTAGTTCTTGAACCCTAATACTATTAGTTTTATTTCAACAAATTTTTATATTGAATATTTAAATATTAATAAAATATTATTAAATGTTGACATATTAAGTTTAATTTTTTTAAAATAATAATGATTAACATAAAAAATAATTATTTAAAACTAATGATATTAAGAATAAATAATTAAAAAATAATTTATAAAATTAAATGATTGAATTGAAACTTTATATAAAATTAGAGAATTAAAAATTTATTTTAATTTTTTTAAAAATAAAAAATAAGAATAAAAACTTCTCCCTCAATTTGTGAAAGTATCCTCAATTCTATCAAAATTATTATTTTTTCTAAATTATCTAAACAACCTTCTGTTAGTCAATTTTTTCGTAATAAATTTTCGCCACCGAAACACAAACACCCACCTTTCCAACGTCCAAAAATCTCGGTACTTCACAAAATTCCAGAGGAGGATGAGGTCGGTGACTCCGGCGTCGATGGTGGTCCGTGGCTGCCGGAGCTTCGTTGTTTCTTTGTCTCTGGCTCGAACGCTTCAAATCTCCCATTCATATCTTAAAAAGCACGACACCAATTATACTGTGAAATGCTGTTCTCCGATGAACACTCTTTCTACGGCACTTGCCCGTGAATCCTCAAGAGCAGACTTGACCAGCACATCCACCACCTCTTCTTCCACTGGGTACTTCTGCATTTCAACTTCTTTTTTCTTCTGTAACTTGTATTGATCTTTTTGTTCAAAGCCTGACTTTAATTTTTGTCGTCCATGTTTACTATCCATATGACGCCAAATGTAGAGGAATTACGACTAGAATGAGCTCTTTTTATTTGATTGTGTCAGAGTAGTTATTAAGTATTAAACAAACTGTTAACTAAGTTATTAGTTTGTTATGTATCAATTAGAGGTGTTGAACACCTAGGAGCTTCACAGGACATTGTTGTTGAATTACGTCAATTTCATATTCTTATCTAATAGGAACTGCTTATCCTTTTCCTTTGATTTAATTGAAATTATTTGTTTGATGGTTTTTCGAAACTAATTGCCACTAGTGTGCGCTTTTTCTTTGATCTAAGATAACCAAAGCATAATCGCTTGCTTCCATGTCCATCACATAATAGTGCGCCGCCAAGAGTTGAACACTTAGTTGTTTCAGAAGATGGTTCTGTCTTAGAATATATTTGCAAAGCTCTTGATTTTCCTCCTTCGTAAGTGCGACTCTTCATCTCTAAATATTCACCAATGTATGCCAATATTCTTCTATCGTACGGCATGATAAATTGATCCATTCTTTGGAAGGTTCGTTGCAGATCTAATCCGATTTGGAGCTGTCTACTATGCTCTTGTCTCTCCACAGCCTCCTCCTACTGCTACTCAAGAGCAAATTAGGGTATTCAAAGAAGCAACAGAACCATCAGTTTTGAAAAACAGATCTAACATCAAAGGGAAGACCATACAACAGGCACAGAAGACTTCCCGTGTAACCAATGGAGATCAGTTCGTAGAAACAGGAACCTATTTAAGAGTATATGTATACCCCAAACGATTTCCACGGTGATACGGATTACTTGTTGGAATTATTTATTTATTTTTCACGAAGAAGATCTTGTTTGACATTTAGCGTCTCTTCAGGTGCTATGAGATCGATTGGAGATCAAGAATCATAGCTGTGGCCGAGTCGTATGTGGTTTTGGACAAACCTGCTGGAACATCAGTACGTAGCGTCATCCTAGAATATCTCAGTTCTGTTGATCTCTGACATAAGAAAAATTAACCTCAAGTAGATAACCAACAGAATTGTTTTCAAGTTAACCTCTCTCTTTTCTTACTCGATAAGGAACATTTAAACATGAAAATAAACTAGAAGCAAAATTCATAGGGGAAATTAGGAAGAGCAGGCTTTTGTACACCAATTATGAGCCATATTGAACCTCATAAGCAGTCACTGAATTCCAAGTCAGCCTAACACTATAAATCAGACATAAAAAAAAAAAAAGCACACAATCCAAGTCACGTGACTTGCATCACATAGCTTATTCTAGATAGTTCTATTTGTAACATGTGTCAGGATTGCATTGATCCCATCTTTCTATATATATGGGCACACTTGTATACACTATTAATCAAGAAGAGAAATATATATTACTTTCAATTTGCTTGAGTCTCCTTTTATTTTGTTATGGTATCAGAGCATTTGAGCTATCTCAATGGCTGGGTCTCCATCTCCCACTGGTTCCACCATTGGAACCACACCATCACCTCCATTCACACAATCGTCTTCCTCTCCCATCAATTTTCATCATTTTATTACAGTTAAACTCATTGAGGATAATTACCTCATATGGAAAGCACAAATCATGCCTTATTTATATGGTTAGCAACTCTTTGGCTATATTGATAGTTCAATACCATCACCATCACCATCACCGAAAACTTCCACCGGTTTACCTAATCGTAGCTATCTTCAATGGTTCCAACAAGATCAACTTGTTCTCTCCATTCTCATTGCATCTATCACTAAAAAACTCATTTGCCAAGTCCTCCGTCACAAAGCTTCTTGTAACCTGTGGCTGGCCCTTGCCACTCTTTTCTCCCAACAAACTTAAACACGTCTTGTTTATCTTCATCAACAAATTATCACTATCAAGAAAGGAGGAGAATCCATTTTTGAATATCACCGTCGAGCAACTATCCTAGCTGACTCTCTTGCCGCTGCAGGAAAGCTAGTGGCTGATGATGACTTTATCACCTACTTACTTGCTGGCCTTGGTTCTGAGTATAACACTGTTGTCACCTCAATCACCACCCAACATCATTTTCTTACTACTGAACAAATTTTGAGTCATCTCCTTAACCTCGAAGCATGAATGTCTCACCAAAACTCTATTTAACTTTCGACTGAAATCACAGCAGATGCTGTTTTTCAATCTTCCACCAGAAGTTCACAACACTTTCGTGGTGGCAGAGGTAGTGGTCGACAACCGTACAACTTCTTTGCTCGTGGTCGAACTAGCAGAGACTCTCTGTACAGAGGTCGTGACGTTCTTTTCGTGGAGGCACAGGCTGCTTTTTTACTTTTCAACTTGACACTGTTGTCCCTTGCCAACTTTGTGAGCGTCATAGCCATACAGCTCATACCTGCAACCAACGCTACAACCAAGCACTCCATGCTCCTCCACCACCCTCTTTTGCCGCTCATTATGCAGACTACTCTAGTCTAAATAATTCTCTTTAGTACCCAGATACTGGTGCCACTTGTCACATGACCAATGACCTCTCCAACCTTAACATGTCCTTTGAACCTTACCTTAGCACTAATGCCATTTGTAACAGTGATGGCTCTCCCATGACCATTCAACGTCAAGGCATCGGCACCATCAACACTTCATTTGGCAAATACCTTCACTCTAACATTTTACATGTTCCTTCCATTACTACAAATTTATGTGTGTCAAACAATTTTGTCGAGATAATCATGTGTTTTGTGAATTTCATTCTGATGCTTTCTGTGTGAAGGATGCCAAAACAAGGAAAGTTCTTCAAGGACCTAGTCATCATCATCTGTATCCATTTGTTGTCTCACCATCTCCTTAAGCTCACTATGGTGAACGTACCTCTCTGACTCAATGGCACAACCGTCTTGGTCATCCAGCCACCCGTATTGTTCGTCATGTCCTCAAGAAGTACTCACTTCTAGTTTCAAGCCTCACAGACTCACATCAATGTCATGCCTGTTGTTCCTCCAAAAGTTATCATCTACTGTCACCATTGTCTTCACATCATTCTAGTGCTCCTTTTCATTTAGTCTTTTGAGATGTATGGGGACTGTCCCCTGTTGTTTCTGTTACTGGTTTTCGTTACTATGTAAGTTTTGTTGATGACTTCTCAAGATATATCTGGTTTTATCCCATTCATACTAAAGATGAGGTCCGTTCTGTCTTCCATCAATTTCGCCATCTTGTCCACAACTTTTTTAATTCCTCTATTCGCTCGTTACCATGGAACTATCATTCTTTATTGTTTTCTTGGTTTCTCCCCACCAATTAAGTGATGCATATAGTTAAAGTCTTTTTCTCAAAATCTCTAAAGCCATTTCATCACCATCCCCCATGACAAGTAATGATCTAAAGTGGGAATAGTTCTTGCAAAGTGATCATCTGTTCTTCTGGAGTACATGTTTGCTTTTGTTAGGTTCACTGCAAGCCTAAGTGGAGTGTAGCATTATAAAAACCTTAAGTGGAGACTCGCGATTCTTCACGACATGTTTGAAATTCATTGGTACATTTCATATCTATATGGTTAGTTTATGAATTGCTTTTAGTTTCTTGTTGATTTTGTTTTGGTTAGGTTGGTGGCACTACTAATAACATTGAAGAAACCTGTGCAATGTTTGCAACTCGTGCCTTGGGACTCACGATGCCTTTGTTGACTACCCATCAGATTGATAATTGCACTGAAGGATGGTATATAGTTTATTCCGTTATGTCAGTTATGTTGCTCTTTGTAAGTTTGTCATAGGCTGTATTGGACTGTCATTTGTGCAGTGTGGTATTGGCAAGAACTAAAGAATATTGCTCTATCTTTCATGGTAAAATCAGGGTAAGTTTATGATATAATTTCTTGCCTAATGCACGAATAATTTGTACTGCATGAAAAAAAACTCTGATCACTATAGCTGATATGTTTACTGGATCTTGCTTTTGTAAAGGGGTTTCCTATTTGGAATAGTGCCTTCTTCACGAAGTGAAATTATAAATCCATCCAATATCATTAGATTTAGAGTGTTTATTCTTTTCCAGGAGAAAAAGGTGAAGAAGCTATATCTTGCTCTTGCAGTTGCTCCTCTGCCCCGTGGAATTATTACCCACTACATGCGTCCGGTAAAAAGGGCTCCTCGTCTTATTTCTGAAGGTGATCTTGCTTGTTGGTGTGATTGGAGAACTGTCTTTTGAGAACCTTGAAGTAGCTAAATACTTATTATAGCTCAACGTGCCTTCATGTAACGTGAATGCTCGAGTTACAGTTGACCTATTTCTGCAGATAAATTTTGTATATTCTGTAAGACTGTAATGAGCATTGAACCATATTGGTTTAAGTGATGCAGATTATATGGAGGGATGGCACTTGTGTCAGCTTGAGGTCATGGAATGCAGAAAGGTCCCCTGGCCAAGAACTGTTATTCAAGAAAAGTACTGTATTGAGGGATGTGGATGGCCTTCCCAAGATTATGCATATGAGTGTAAAATCAACCTCCTTACTGGTAAAACTCATCAGGTCTGTCATCTGCACTTTATTTATTGCTTTCATTTGAATTGTACTGGTCTCTTCCATTCTTGGGTGTTTACATGCCTTTATGAGTCATAGGCTATTTGTTTTCCTATATTGTAGAAAGATGAAACTACATTACACACACACACTCTAATACTTTACTTGATTATTTATACAGATTCGAGCCCAATTTGGTGCATGTAAGGCACCGTTGATTGGTGATTCTATGTACATGCCAGCTGCACTTGCAGAGATAGCAAATCCTAGACTTAATCCATTTGGAAGGCAAAAGACAGATTTTAGCAGTGACAGTGAAAAGGAAATGGCTATCTTCAATTGGATTGCACAACATGGGAAGGAACCAGGTGTGGCAATTGGCCTTCAAGCTTGTGAAGTATCTTGGGATGATGGTGAACACTTTTACAAAGCTGGATCACCTTGGTGGAGTGGTGAACATGATTAGAGTCTGTGCTTAATGACAATTATGATTCCAATCATTATGAGAGATGGATTGCGTAACATAAATCCATATGTATCCCTAAAGAAGTAAGGATGCAAATTCCACAAGTTCCTTAAATTTAGAAAATGTAGATATTAGATTGTACTATCCTCTGCTTATGTATCCTTCAGTAGTCTACTTGAAATGGAAAGATAGAGAATATGTAATTAATGAATTTAACGACCTTTCTAGAAAGGAATTGAAGTTGCAGGTTCTGCTTTAAGATTGAGCCATCGAGCAAATGTCGCTTGTTATTGAAGTGAACCTGATTAATTTACGTTCTTCACCTTCAATTGTTTGCATTGAAATTATTTAACACAAATATAATAAATGTTCAAAACATACTCATATAAAATTATTTAACAAAATGAATGCTAGAGGTATATATTTGGACGTGAGGAAGACACCATGAACCACACAGAACCATAAATCACGAGTCTCGAAATGCGGGTGTATTTGGTAATTTATAAATTCTGACAAATAATTAATGTTTGAACATGCAAAATAATTGATATTGAAAAACAAGGGATATCAGCTTAATGCCAAAAACAGTTTGAGCTGAGATAATCAATTGTGTAAAAATGAGTGCTTGGATAATTTTGATCAAAATGTGATTTTACGGACAATCAATTCTAATGACATATCCAAACATGCACAATTGCTTATATCATGTTGATAATTTTAAAATTTATTTTAGTGTGGCATGTTTAACTCGTAGAAGTCTCAATATAGCCACTGGTATGATTATCTTTTATATTTGGTCCTCCTTAAATGAAATATTTTCAATTTGATTGCTCATAGAATTTGTTTTTTGATTCTAATGTAGTCCTCCACTAATGAGTATTATTTATCTAATTCTTCCCAAATAAATTTACCACCGGATATCCTTTTATTAATTAATGGCGAATGAATTTAACAAATATAATGACATTTAACATAATTTTTGAAAGATTAATAATATCATCAAATTATTTTATTTTTAATTATATTAATGAAATATTTTTTTGTGAGGGATCAAATTAAAATAAAAAATATATATTAGAAATTAGAAACTTTATTAAAAAGACAAATCAATAAGGGATCAAACAAAAATATTTACTGACAAATTAAATACAAAAATTAATTTATCCATAACATGTAAAACTGAATATTTTTTTCATATAAAAATAAAATTTTGCTCCCTAAGATTTACGATGAAAATTTTAAATTTTGTTTACGTGAATTGTTTTCCTATAAAAAAAAAGGAGAAAAACAATTTCTGCGAGAGTAGCCAAGAGCCTAAGACAGCCCAGCCAGATTTTTTTCTTTTATCATTCACATGTAAATGTGAGCCAATTTTTGTTGTGAGGACAAGTCCTTTTGCTAAACTAAGCGTGTGTTTGGATAGAAAAGAAACGTGTGTTTTTAGCCCACAATCAATTTTTTAAACAAAATTATCCAAACAGTACAAAAATGCAAATATCGCAAAATGTGCGTTTTTTCATAAGCTCTTTCTATCTACTTTCTGCCAAAAGTTTGTCAAAAATGTTAAAAAAAATTACAAAAATAGACTCAAGAAAAAATTACAAAGAAAGCACATAATTTAATAAAAATAAAATTAAACTCTCTTCTTTTTCCTCTTTTTTCTTAATAAAATTTAAATTTTGTATCTTCAAAAAATTAATATTTAATATTTAAAAATTAAATTATATATTAATTTATATAGTTAAAAATTAATTCTGATTAAATTATTCAAACATCTTTAATTCTGTTAAAATTAATTTTAAAAAAACAGTATCCAAATAAATTATGTTATAACATAATCAATTATAATTAAAATTTATTACTTAATCAATTATTTTTATAATCTATTATACTCAATTAAAATTTAAAAAGATCCTAAACCAATTGGTAGTGGTTTCTTTTCTATGTATACGTACAGGTTACAGCCCAAAAAGCCAATTCAGATTTGATACCCAATACTGTGCAGCCGAATAAGCGCAATTCCTTTTTTGGGTTGAACAATTCATATTTACTTTAGGAACCAAATATTGAGGTTTAATTCTACCCAAAAAAAAAAAAATTTCAGGTTTAAACAAGGACTCAATCCTCTTTTCCCTTTTTTTTTCAGGCCCAAAACAAAATCTTCTTTATTCAGGGCCCCTAAAAAAAAATGAAAAAGAAAAAAAGGGGGACTCTGGCTTCTCTCGTGTCAACTTGATAATGGTCACTGGTTCGTTTTGTTCTCCTGCTTGCTGCTTAGAGTCGAGTTTGGGACGTTGCAGAGAAGCAAAGTGCTTCCTGGTTCCTAGAATTTAAAAGGAAGATCCCTTGATGGGGTCGGTGACCATGGCCGCTATGTTGACCAGTGGCTGTCGGAGCTTCGGTTTACCATTGGCTCTCGTGCGAACACTTGACATCTCCCTTTCGGCTCTTATCAAGCACTACAACAAACGTTCTCTGAAATGGTGTTGTCCGAGGAGTTCACATAGCAGTTCACTTACCAGTGAATCCTCAAAAGTACACTCTAACAACTCAACCACTGCTTCTAATGGGTACCCTCAATATCCCACTCTGTCGTTTTTCTTTTATAATCTTTTTTCTCCCCCCGTTTGAAAGAGATTTTTCCCCAAAACTCTCTGCATTCTGCACGAGAAAACTGACTGGGAAAAATGGCTTTGAAATGGTATTTATTATTACTCTTATAATAACATAAATTCCTTTCATGGCTTATTTTCTTGCGTGAAAGCTTTTTGCCTTTTCCCTTTTTGGCTGTTGATGCTTCAACTTACATACGAGGCCAAATCATATCTATATGATTTGCCCTTTTGAGCATAGCCATTGCATCTTCCCTGGAGTTCCTGTGCTGAGTTCCATTTTTTAAAACGATGAGCCATTATGTTTCTATGCTTATTGCGATTTGGTCGGACCGGTAATTGTTACATTGAGAAAGAGGTGGTGCTTATCTATTTGCTTGTTAACCACTATGTTGTTCGTTATATATGGCTGTATGTGTGTGAATGCCCTCAGTGAATTATATTCGGATGATTGCTAGAAGTTGATTTCCATTGCTTCCACTTTTGGCTTGTTAATGAGATCTGATCTTGTTTAAGCTACCCGAAGTATGATCGCTTGCTTCCGTGTCCATCACAAAATTGTACACCAAGAGTTGAACACTTAGTTGTTTCAGAAGGAGGACCCGTCTTAGAATATATTTGCAAAGCTCTAGATTTTCCTCCTTTGTAAGTGGTACTCTTTATCTCTTCTAATTAAAAAAATTATGACACTGTTATTGTGTGGCATGATAAATTGAAGGTTTCATTCCTTGAAGGTTTGTTGCAGATCTAATCCAATTTGGAGCCGTATACTATGCTCTTGTCTGTCCACAACCCCCTCCCAGTGCTACTCAGGAGGAGATTAGGATATTCAAAGAAGCAACAGAACCATCAGTTTTGAGAAAGAGATCTTCGATCAAAGGGAAAACTATACGAGAGGCACAAAAGACTTTTCGAATAACTCATGTGGATCAGTTTGTGGAAGCAGGAACCTATTTAAGAGTACATGTACATCCCAAACGCTTTCCAAGGTACTACTGAATGCTTGTTAGAATTATCTGTTAATTTTTTGAGGAAAAAAATCTTGTTTGACGTTTACTCTCTTTTCAGGTGCTATGAGATTGACTGGCGATCGAGAATCATAGCTGTGGCTGAGTCATATGTGGTTTTGGATAAACCGGCTGGAACATCAGTATGTAGTCAATGCTGCAATATCTCACTTATGTTGATGAGTGACATCAGAATTGTTTTTGAGAATGAATTAAGGTCATAAAGACAGTGAATTGACAGTTTATTTTATGATATTGAAGGAAAGGGGATGGGCTGTAGGGTTTTTTGGCAATCTTTTGAATCTTTTTACTTTAGAGTCTCTGGATAGAGTTTGGGGAAATTTCAAGGGAGGAATGATGAGGATGTTGAAGGCAAAGATTTTTAATGCTCTCTCTCAAAGAAAATAAGGCCTTGACAGGCTATGACATTGAAGAAACTTTCATGGAAGTTGAGAACAGGAAAATTAATTCAGGTTGCATCCCTTTGTAGGCATCACATTGTTAAGGACCTAGCAATCTTCTTAGTAACTTGTAAACCAAATGCTGAATCTGAAATAAGATGTCACAGCGAAAGAAACATGGCCTCTAATGTAGACATAGTGACATGATGTGATGTGAATTATCAATATGTAAATTACAATGCTGTGCCTTGTTTAGTACAGTCTGACATTTATCAGACAAGGACATGATTCTTTCTGTCTTTCTTTGTTTCTTCTTTTTCGAAGTAGAGATAATTTATGGGTCAAAACTGTCTTGATAGATTTCTCATAACTCAATATACAGCACTAAGGATTAAGGAATGAAGTACTTATCCTTTGAGGATTTAGACCTCCTGATGTAGTAAAGAACATTTAACCATGAAAATAAACTAAGCATAAATCCAAGGCCAACCATAAATTGAGAGCTGAGGCATGTACCGAACACTCACTTAAGGGTAAGAATTGGCTTGTGGAGTGTGTTTAGTTTGTTCAGTGCAAGCTTTGGATAGAGTGTAGCTTTACGAAGCTGGTTGATTTGAAAACTCCAGATTCTTTATGGTATTTTTGGAAATTTATTTGTCCATTTCGTATCTGTGATTAGTTTGTCAATTCCTTAAGTTTTGCTGTCTCTTGGTTTAGGTGGGTGGCACTACTGACAACATTGAAGAAACTTGTGCAACCTTTGCAACTCGTGCCCTGGGACTTCCAACCCCATTGATGACTACCCATCAGATAGACAATTGCACGGAAGGCTGGTACTTTATTTTTGTTGAGTTTATTTGTTGCTCATTGTCAGTCTATCTTTCATAGATCGTAATGAATGGTAATTTACATGCAGTGTAGTCTTCGCTAGGACTAAAGAATATTGCTCTGTCTTTCATGGTAAAATCAGGGTAAGTTTTGTGACATAATTTCTTGCGTCATGTTAGGACGGCTTGTAATACATGAAAACATGCACATGTATTGCATATGGATTAGTGCATTCTTTATAATTTGCACATAAGCTGAAGGGCCTCCCTTTTGTAAAATGGTTTTCCATATGGAATAGTGCATTCTTTAAAAAGTGAATGTAATGTAGAAATTAAGTCCATTCAATATTGTATTTGTCTCATGTCTTTGTGTGTTCATTCTTGTCCAGGAGAAAAAGGTGAAGAAGCTTTATCTTGCTCTTGCAGCTGCTCCCGTGCCATGTGGAATTATTAGCCATTATATGCGTCCAGTTAACAGGGCTCCTCGTCTTATTTCTGAAGGTAATCATGCATAGGGACATGATTTGAATATAGTTCTTCATAACCTTGAAGCAGTTAAACATTTAGAGTTGAGTAAGCTTCATTTGTTGGCCTTGTTGGAACATGGCCAGATAGAGAAGGCAAGGACATATGCCCATGCCTATCTGGTTGTCCTGTCAGCAGTACTTGAGTAGCAGTGTTTCTTAGAGTTAACAGAAGAAGATATAGTGATGTTCTTAAATACATATGAAAATGGTGCTCTAGCTATTTAGAAAAATCTTGAAAATAATAGGCAGAATTTTAGTTTTTTTTTTTGGGTAAAAATTGCAAATATCACATTGTCATTCATTATATTTTGAATAGACGCATTAACAATGATGGATGTAATCACGTAAGTACTCCAACAACATGTATGATTGTTATATTCTATGGCTAATACTAATTTGAAATTTTCGACCCTGTGGCCTATTACAATAAACTGCATTTTGTATAGAAACATAATAGGGAAATTGACGACAACCTTTTTCTTTGCAAAGGTGAGTTTTGAAACATTTTTTGTTGTGCACAGGAAGTTTATAGAGAAGAGTCATGTTAAAACCCTATTGGTTTATGCGATGCAGATTACGTTGAGGGATGGCACTTGTGTCAACTTGAGGTCATGGAATGTAGAAAGGTCCCCTGGCCAATCACTCTTATTCAAGACAAGTTTTGTATTGAAGACTGTGGATGGCCTTCTGAAGATTATGCGTATGAGTGTACAATCAACCTTCTTACTGGTAAAACCCATCAGGTCTGTCCTTGCATTTTGGTTTTGTTTGTTTGTTTGTTTGTTTTTTTTTTTTTGGGTGGTATTCTCTCTTCCATCCTGGTTATCAACATGCCTTAATGAGTCATAAGCTTTTTGATCAATGACATTTGATAGCTGAACAATGAATCAGCTGATACAATGGTTGGGAAAAAAATTTGTGCCAGAGATGGTGGGTTTAACTGTTTAAGGCTGGTGAATTGAGCTTAGAATTTGGAAAGGTTACATTTTCTAAACGTTATCCAACACCCCCCACCCCCCCCCCCAAAAAAAAAAAAAAAAAAAAACCCGCATGCACTAACAAAATGTTCAATACCTTACACTTTGTTATAAATTAGTTGTTCTTGTTTCCTCCTAAGATTGGTAATGTTTGCCAGTGTTTCCAAGGTTGCCTCTCTAATGGATGAATCTTGGATTTTCTCATATTTTCTTTTCCATATGAAACTCTCTTTGACAGATTACTTTTTTTAAACGTGCAGATTCGAGCTCAATTTGCAGCGTGTGAGGCACCATTAGTTGGTGATTCTATGTACATGCCAGCTGCCCTTGCAGAGATGGCTAATCCTGGAATTAATCCATTTGGAAAACACAAGAAAGATCTCAGCGGTCAGGGTGAAATGGAAATGGCTGTTTTAAATTGGATTTCACAACATGGGAAAGAACCAAGTGTTGCAATTGGCCTCCAAGCTTGTCAAATATCGTGGGATGATGGCGAACACTTTTACAAAGCTGGGTCTCCTTGGTGGAGGTGTGAAAATGCTTGAGTTTATGCTTATTGGCAAGAAATGACGGCAAATTCCTATTTCTTTTGCCTCTAGTTTTTGAGTGTGCTGTCATTCTAATTGATAGGGTTTCTCATCATATTAAGCAAGGACGCAAGAATTTCCTTAAAGATTGGAGAAGTTAGACTGAAAGTCTACTCCAAGGTTCACAGAAATAAATGAAAAGGAGAAGACGATTATAGGCTGTCAAGTGCAGTATCATATGCTTCTGTACCTTGTAGCATGCATTCCTTCAGAAGTAAATTGAACAGATGAGCCAGACATAGGTGATTCCTGAATTTAAATACTAGTTTACGAAGAGAAAATTAAATTTACACATTCTGCTCGGAGATGAAGGCATCGAGCAAAAGTCACATATTATTGAAGCGAAGCTGATTGGGCTTTGGTACAAACGATTTAACTTTGGCGCTTGTCCTGAATTGTTTGTACCGGTTTCCCTCCTCCCTGTCATGTTCGGGCCTAAAAGCCTCTCTTTTATACTTTGTAATAAACTGCTTATACCAACTTGCTGATAGTTTTTGAGTTCTCTTTAGAGTAGAAAAATCAATATGGTATAGCCCGAATCTTCTTGTATATCCATATTCCCACTGAAAGTTGTCAAGGAGGGACCAGGCAAAGTATCCCCTCACGTCTGCTCCTTTCCTGATCATATGTTAAGACTTGAGATGGGAGGAAAGAATACGAAAGTTATCTAAATTTAGTCATTAATCTCGAGGCAAATATCAGCTATTGGTTAGACAATATATAATAGATATATTGGCAAACTATAGTGAACAATAAAAGGGTATTCAAATGATCGTCTGGAAATTATGTTGCTGTTTTTGTTCATTTAATTTTCTCACCTTGTAGCTGATACAAGGGCATTCAAGTGATCTTCCATGTACTTCATTCTTTTAACGTCATTAATATGTTCTTCCAAGGTGGAATTTGGATGATCCGTCTCACCATACCCTAAAAAATGGTTTTCATTGTAAGCAAATACACTGAAACTGGATTAAACTAAACAGTTGCTTATACTTTTCCTTACCATTTTCTGTAATGAACATTGGAATATTGTTGTATCTGTCTTTTACATGTGTGATCACTTTTTCCATGCCTCTTGGGTAAACACACCAACCAATTGTGGTCTGCATGGTTGCAAATTCTTCAGAATTGAACAGGTAACGCAGAGGGATGACATTAATTGACTTTAAATCAACATGTTCAATGGGTTTGGTCCACCTAAATAATCTCGTGATGGGGAAAAGGAAAACTTGAGACTACTTACAGGTTCGCCAATGGGCACGCCATTTTTCTCTGTACTTTTTCGGTACAAACCCTCTGTTCTGGTGATCCCTTCTCCAGGTTCACATGCTGAGGAAATGCAGTCTTGGACATAGTAACTGGTATAGTAATTGATGCCTATGTAATCCAACCCTCTTTGGAGTTTCACCATTTCAATGCTGGAAAATTTGGGCAAAATTGCCCCTAGAATCTTCTCCATCTCAGAAGGGTACTTTCCGAAGACGATTGGGTCCAAGAACCTGCATTACAAAAAATTGTGTGGGGTATGGGGGAAAAACTCATGGCTACTTCGAGGTGGGGCTGAACGAACAAAATGGAAGAGGTTAAATAAATAAAATACCAATTAAAAGTGAATGATAGTGCTCTTTGACTAGCCATTATGTCTGTTGTAGAATTGCTGACAGGTTCATACCACGCAGCTTTTAAGACTATGCCAATTCTCCCCTTTTGCTCTCTCTAGATGTTTCAGCCACAACACAGTTATTACACAATCATTTCTTGTTTATTCATCTCTTTGATATATATACATGTGTATCCTTTTCATGTGATCCCCACTTTTTACCTGGTACTTGGTTTTATAGATATCAACCGCAGCAGCATGGGAGAGGATAATGTTATGGGCTGCTATGAAGGGCTCAGATTCGGAGTCTCCTTCAATGCAATCTCCAAATGGTTTAGAGCATCTGCTTGGCGGGAAATTTCCAGTGCGGTAACTGAATGAAACTAGCAGATTTGGCTCATTGAAGGTAGTCCAGTGCGTTACTCTCTCTCCGAACCATTTAAAACAAAGTTCTGCATAAAATGCAAAATCTTCCCTGCTCATCAAACGCACACAACATATGATCCTTGTGAGCTGCGAACATTGGTTTTATAACATGCAACATAAACACCTCTTCTTGCTTTTGGATGGCTGCTACACTTAACCAAGACCAAAAACATCCTTTAGTGGCCACAGAACAGATGATATGAAAGTTGAACAAGAAGTTCTGAATGATAGCCAAATTGATTTGGATTTCAATGCATGTACTAAGGTAAATCACTGTACATGGTTTGTTGAGATTAATATATATTTATATTTTTCTTTATGAAAAAAAATTAAACTTAAGTTCCCTTAAATAAAAAAACTAAATTGCTTACTGTGATTGGGGACTAAGCCAACCTCCATACTTATCCTCGAGCTCTTGAGGCATGTCAAAGTGAGTCAGAGTCACAAAGGGTTGGATTCCTGCATGTTTAACGGTCCAAACACATGTCAAGGAAATGGAACCATTTGCTTTCTTTCTTCCTTCACAGCCTTTTGCTCTCCTGAAAGAACAGTAGACTGTGTCCTCCGTGATGTACGTGAAATCTAAAATAAGCTATATTACTTTTGTCTTTTGAACAGTATGATTTTCTATATATGTGATAATATATATTAATATATGGATTAATGATTGAAACTAAACCTTTGAGCAGAAGAGCATCTATTAGTCTGTTGTAGAAGTCGATGCCAGCCAAGTTGACCTCTCCGAATTTCCCTTCTGTTCAAAATCGTGTATTAATTAATTAGAATTTCATGTAGTTGTGATACTGAGACTATATTATTTATTTCATTTAAAACCGCATTTTGTTTTTGCTAATTTTGGTTTAATTACTCTGTTGGTTGCTAAATTTTGCTATCTTAGTATCCTAATAATGCAAAATTCACTTCAACTCAATTCAATCAACTTTATCAAAATAATTATCTTTGTCCCTGCAATGAGTTTGTTCTATAACAGAGAAGCATACTTGGTAAAATTCTTGCCCAAGAGAGAGAGAATCGATAGCTGTTGACTTTGATGGCATCCATCAGCTCAATATCTTCCTGTTAATTTGATTTGAACTTTAATAAACTTTGGACATTTAATTAATAAATATTAAATTCCAATGGATCCTTCCTTGTTAAGTTAGAACACGTTTCACTCCCTCTAATCCCAAATGTAGAAGCTAGAGATAACTAATTCACATAAATTAAGGGAATTAGCTGAGTTAGTTATTTATAAAAAAATGAGTGTTAGTTTTCCTAAAATATGCTTCCTTTAACACAAAAGTAAACTCCTTAATTAACTCTTACATTTAAGACCGGAGGGAGTATGACCAATTTATTATACGGGTTCTGATCCCTCTAGAAGAAAAAAAGATAGTTAAGGAAAAGCAGATCTCTTAGTTGTGATAAATAATTGGACATGTTGTTACATGGAAGATAAAACTGTGTGTGTTTGCTTGAGTCTTTCGTCTTGAAAAAAAAAAAAAACAATTTTGACGATCGCCAGACGCCAGCAGGTAGACGTGGGCCTGGAATGCATTAATCAAGCATCACACACACACACACACACACACACACACACGGGTTGAACAGTTGATGCATATGTATAGAGAATACCAGGTAGCGATGATAATGGTCAACCGCAATGTCCCCATTACTGGCATCAATTATTTTACCTGCAATCATTGATAACTAAATGCTAACTTATAATTATGAAAATAATGAAAGCCGGAACGATAAGGGAAAGTTGAGGTCTTTGAACGAATCAGGATCAGAATGTAAGCAAATCGTAGCTTTAACTTAATAATCACTCCCTCCAATCCAAAATATAAACAGTTTTGACAAAAAATCTGCATACCAATGAAATGTTCATTCTCATAAAAATATATGTTGTTTTCTTTTTTTATCCTTATTCCTAATTACTAATGCTGAAATAAATGAAAGATAGTTTAAAAATGATGATCCTCCCCATAAAAAGCAGACCCATAAAGAATGACTCCAATTATAAAACAAACCAATAAAATTGCTCCATTTTATCTTTACAGGATAGACGCACCTGACCAATAAAATGACTTTCAAAATGACAATCATTACTCTTTGTAGGGTGAGTTTTCCTCCATAGCCAAAGTTGAATAACTGGACGTCAGATGAGCACAATGAATGCAGCGAGAATGAGGTTGTATTTGTTCCAAGAAAGACTTTTCAACTTCATCTGATACCGTTGTATGTTCCCAGTGCATGCATTCATACTTTTATAGTAAACCGTGCACTATAATGAGTGTGAGATTTATACAAGTTTCTAGGTTCGTAATTACAAGGGGTAAAATGGAAAAAATATTTTTTACTTGTGCAAGACTGCTTATATTTTGAACCAAGTTTAGCTAAGGGAAATTGCTTATATTTTGAAACTGGGGGAAGTATCTTGCAATGAAAATCATTGTGATGGAGTTTGAACTACAGAAGAAGTGCTACTTATTGAGGTTTTACATTGGAGTGTTGGAATTGTATGTGTTGTGATGCATCACAGTTCAAAATATATAGATTATAAATTTGATGTGAGCTGACCTGGAATGTGAGAGAAAACATCCCAGTTGCCGAGTCCTTTGCCGTCACTCAAGTACGCTCCCTCATACTGAATAGTCGAGAAAGAAAAACATGAAAGAAAACAAAGTGATGGAAAAATGACTTGAGGATTTGACAACATTAATTCATGAGAAGCAATGAAGCATGGTTGTATAGATCAGAGAAAGAAAGGGGAAGGAAGGAACCTGGTAAGAAGAAGAAGCAGTGCCAAAGAGAAAGTCGGTGGGGAAATTGTGAGAAGAATGATCAAAGCAAACAACTGTCATGACTTTCTGATCATTTGAAGAGAGCAGAGGAAGCAACAATATCTGCACAAGCGCTAGTCTTTTCACCAATTCCCACACCAACCCCATTGATATGCCTTCTCGTAAGCAACAATGGGTACTTTGTTCACACACACGCACAGCCATTATACCTTGCAAAAAATTTTTGTGGGGTAGAGATCTTCATTTAGAGAATTATATTTTGGTCAGGTTTGATTGAAAGAATTTTTTGAGTTCTAGTCCCCCCCCCCTTTTCTGGCCTCAATTTTACATTCCTTACTTGTTTAAATAATTGAACTGTACTTTTGTGATTTAATACAATTTCTGTCGTCCTATCTTCTGTTTTCATTTAAGAAAATGAAGTAGGATAGTAAATTACAATCTGTCAAAGCATCTGACTCAGAATTGACCCATGCCAGCAGATGCACCCCTTGGAATCTTTGAAAAACCAATGTGTGTGAATAATGCATTCGCATCATGGCCCCTCTGATGTTGTCATTTTGCACCAGTGGCTAGATTTAGTTGATAGAGAGAAAAGAAAAAATTGGAGAGAAGAGGGTGTAGCCAATTCTCACTTGTTTTTTTTTAATTATTTTTTAGCCAACCATTTGTTTTAATATTATATAATTATATTTGTTTTCGTCCATATGGCAGATGTTTGTTTTGAGGGGTATCATCACTATACTTTTTCTATTCCCTCTTGTTGACTGGTGAAGGTTGGGGTATGTCAGATAAGACAAAATTTTCATTTGGATGTTACATCCCTTCAGAATCAAATTGAACGGGTGAGCTAAAGCATAAGCGATTCTAGAACTTAAATAATAGTTTATGGAGAGAGAATTAAGTTTACAGATTCTGCTTGGAGATGGATACATTGAGAAAAGGTCACAAATTATTGAAGCGAAGCTGATTGGTCTTTGGTATGAATGATTTAACTTCAGTTTCTAACTTGAATTGTCTGTACTGGTTTTCTTGCTCTCTGTCATGTTCTGGCCTAAAAGCCTTTGTTTTATGCTTTGTAATGAATTGCTTATACCAACGTGCTGATAATTTTTGAGTTCTCTTCAGAGTAGAATAATCAACATGGTATAGCCCGAATCTTCTTGTATATCCATATGTCCACTCAAAGTTGTCAAGCAAAGACCAGGCAAAGTATCCCCTCACATCTGCTCCTTTCCTGATCACATGTTAAGAGGGAAGGAAAGAAAATAAATATATGACAAATTTATAGCAAATGTAATGGCAAATTATATTGAACCATAAAAGGCCATGTGAATGACATGCTTGACATTTATCTTTCTGATTTTGTTTATTGAATATTCTCACCTTATTGCTGATAGCAGGGTATTCAAGTGATCTTTCATGTACTTCATTCTTTTAACGTCATTAATATGCTCTTCCAAGGTGGAATTTGGCTGATCCGTCTCACCGTACCCTAAGAAATGGTTTGGATCGTAAACAAATGCACTGAAATTGGATTAAATTATACAGATACTTATACTTTTCCTAACCATTTTCTGTAATGAACATTGGAATATTGTTGTATCTGTCTTTTACATATGTGATCACTTTTTCCATGCCTCTTGGGTAAACACACCAACCAACTGTGGTCTGCATGAAGGCATTAATTGATTATAAATCGACATGTTCAATGGGTTTGGTCCAACTAATAATAATTTCTTCAAAGGAGAAAATGAAAGCATGATTATAGAGTTGAGGCTACTTACAGGTTCTCCAATAGGCAAACCATTTTTCTCTGTACTTCTTAGGTACAAACCCTCTGTTCTAGTGACTCCAGTTCCAGGTTCACATGTTGAGGAACTGCAGTCTTGAACATAGTAACTGGTATAGTAATTGATGCCTATGAAATCCAATCCTTTGTTGAGTTTAATCATTTCAGTGCTGGAAAATTTGGGCAAGATAGTCCCCAGAATCTTCTCCATCTCAGCAGGGTACTTTCCGAATATGATTGGGTCCAAGAACCTGCATCATGAAGAAGTGTTTGTGGATGGAACAACCCATGTGGCTGCTTTGTGATGGGGCTGAATGAATTGAACAAAATTGAAAGATAGTAAATGAACATACCAATTAAAAGTGAAGGATTGTGCTCTTTCACTGGCCATTTTATCTGCTGTAGAATTGCTTATAGGTTCATACCCCGCAGCTTGTAAGACTATGCCAATTCTCCCCTTTTGTCCCCTCTTGATGTTTCATCCACAACACAGTTGTTACACAATCATCTAGTTATAAACTTGTTAACTATAGTCCCATGGACCAGAAAAGATTAGGAAAGAGAGAATAGACTCAATGAGATGACTTGAGAGTCATTATTACCTGGTACTTGGTTCTATAGATATCAACAGCAGCAGCATGAGAGAGGATAATGTTATGGGCTGCCACGAAGGGCTCAGATTCAGAGTCTCCTTCAATGCAATCTCCAAATGGTTTAGAGCATCTACTTGGTGGGAAATTTCCAGAGCGGTAACTGAATGAAACTTGTAGATTCGGCTCATTAAAGGTAGTCCAGTGCTTCACTCTGTCTCCAAACAATTTAAAGCAAAGTTCTGCATAAAATTCAAAATCTTCCCTGCACATCAAACACACAACATGTGATCCTTATTGGTTATGTAATATGCAACATAGACACTACTTCCATTTTCATGACTATTACTCTTAACTAAGAGCAAAAATATTATTTTATTGCTAACATAACGGATCGTATATGGAAGGTGAACGAGGAATTCTATATCACAGGACCAAATTGATTTTGGATTAAAATACACATGCTCAGATAAATATTGAGGGGTGTGTGTGTGTGTGTGTTTATGATTACTTAAACTTGAGTTCCATTATAACAATCTCTTTAATTATTTTTTTTTAAAAACTAAATTGCTCACTGTGATTGGGGACTAAGCCAGCCTCCATACTTGCTCTCGAGCTCTTGAGGCATGTCAAAGTGAGTGAGAGTCACAAAAGGTTGGATTCCTGTAAGTTGAACAGTCCAAACAAAAAAACACATGTCAGGAAATTGGCCCATCTGTTTTCTTTCCTCTTTCATAGCCTCTTGCTCTTTTGAAAGAAAACTTGACTGTGGGGTTTTTATTTGATACCGAGTCTGAGACTTGCTGCATTATTCATGTTTTATAAATAGCGTTATTTATTATGCGTTTGATAACATATATATATATATATATATATATATATAGACGTATTAGGATGTTAGACATGGAAACTAAACCTTTGAGCAGAAGAGCATCTATTAGTCTGTTATAGAAGTCAACGCCAGCCAAATTGACCTCTCCAAATCTCCCTTCTGTTCAACATCATATATTCATAATTAGTATCTAAATTTTACATGTAGTTGTGAGACTGAGACTAGATTATTTGTTTCGTTTAAAAACCTCATTTTCTGCTAATTATGGTTTAATTACTCTATTGGTTTCTAAATTGTGCCATCTCAATTAATATCCTAATACTGCAAAAGTCCCGTCAGCTGTCATGGGTTTAGATGATGCCTATTTAGAGTAATAAAATAGCACTCTATCGTAATAAGCTTTTCTAGTATGCACTATGGTAGGGATCAAATTAATTTTTTCAACAGGATAGAAATTCAACTGTAAAAGTTTAAACTATTAAAATTATATAAAAATTAAATGAAAAGTTAAATAATAATGTATACTATCAATACAGAGAGAATGACAAATAAGGACTTTGTAAGAAAATTAATTTATAATAAAAACTTTTGAGTTATAAATTCATGAAATTTTAGTTGTAAAATATTGATATTTCAGTTATAAAGGATCTTTCATATTTTTCAAAAGTCCTTATTTATAATTCTTCTATCAATACATATAAGAAGCATACTTGGTAAAATTCTTGCCCAAGAGAGAGAGAACCGATAGCTGTTGACTTTGATTGCATCCATCAGCTCAATATCTTCCTGTTAGCTTGAATCGCAGTTAAATAATTTTTTTTGACATTTAATTATTAAATTAAGTGCTCGTTTGATCTAAACATGAAAATAGGAAAGAGAATAAAAGAACAAGAAAGTTTTTTTTTCTCATAAACATGGGAAGTTTTGTTTCAAACAGAATCACTTGAAAAAAATTAATCGCAAAGACCAAATTTAAAAACTATTTACTAAACTCCTCGGACTTTTAAGTGTTAAGTGTTTGACGAATGTTTGTAAATTTCGTAGTATGAGTGTAAATATTTGAACCTTGTCCTTAAGAATAAATAGTTTATGAAACTTGGGGTATTTAAGAGTAAATAATTTTTGGGGTGTGAATAATTTTCTCAAATCACTTTGTCACATGCCAAATACAATATAACATACTTTTCTTTTTAAATATCTCACACATGGGATGTATAATTAACTGATGCATGTAATTAAATATAGATTACCAGGTAGCGATGATAATGGTCCACCGCAACGTCCCCATTACTTGCATCAATTATTTTGCCTGCAATAATTGATAATGAAATAATTATAATTTATAACAATAATATAATGAAAGATAAGGGAAAGTTGAGGTCTTTGAACGAAAGAGGATTATAAAATTAAGCAAATTGTAACAGCAAGAAGAATTTGGATCCAACGAGTATCTTTAATTTCACTCATTCAAAAAATGTTTCAGTTAACATGACGAGAACTGTTTATTTTATGTAATATTCAAAAAGTACTAAATTTCAAAATTTTTGCAAGAGACAATATATATGATGAGTGCTATGATCTTGAGGATTGTTTTATATTTTTTGAGAGAAATATATCTTAATAATTTTTAAACATTGATAAAGTCTATTAGTTATAATTAAGACACTTATTAAATTAGTGAACTTAGTCTCATAGAATTCAAATATAAGAAAAAGAGAGCGTTGTACGTAGTTGTTCAGCCTCCAACTGAATGAATAGCTCGGAAGGAAACTCATTTGGACGCATGAATGGAGTTTCAAGTTTCAACCACAGAAGAAGTATTAGTCATGATCTCATACGGAGGTCTCGGATCGAATGGAGTGATAAAATAAAATTAGTAAACGAATACAGATTGTGCTTTGCTTGACTTGGAGTATGTTTGGTGCATCAGAGCTCCAAATATATAGACAAGTGTAAATTTAATGGGACCTGGAATGTGAGAGAAGACATCCCAGTTGCTGAGTCCTTTGCTATCACTCAAGAAAGCTCCCTCATACTGTAAATTAAAGAAGGAAAAAGCTTGACAAAGTGAAAAATGCATTCAAGCTAATTCTGCAGAAGCATGCTAATTAGATCAGAGAAAGAAGGAAAATAATATAGTGAACCTGGTAAGAAGAAGAAGCAGTGCCAAAGAGAAAGTTGGTGGGGAAAGAAGAATGAAGAGTACTGGAAAAAGCTAACACGACATTGTCGTTTGATGAAAGCTGAGGAAGCAATATTATCAGCACAAGCACACCTCTCAGCAATTCCCAGATCCCCATTATAATGCCTCCTTCATGTGTTGAGCAACAAGCTTGTTTGTGTATATATAGAGACGTCGCATAAGAAAATTATATATATATATATATATATATATTTTTATAGCTTTTTATTTCTTAACCAACAAGATTACAAGACAATTATAAGGGGTTTGTTAGTTGTTGCGTGCAAATGATATTTTATGTGATGTGACATTATTTTTTCTTTCCTTTTCAGGTGGGGCAGAGAGTAGATCTTCATTTTCAATCAAGGGTAGACATCTTCGCTGGGCTTCTGTGATTTAATCAAATTTCTGTCATTCTAATTTTTATCAATGCAATCTTTTTTTTTCCTCTCTTTTTAAAAAATGAGGTAGAGATATTAGAATTATAATCACTTGACAATGTATACTCAACCTCTTTTGTCTCCCTCATTAATTATTCTTTTTTGATTGATTATATACAATTAATAAGAAAAAATTAAATGTAAATGATTGAATGGGGTATTTGGAAAAAAACTAACATACATTTTTAAAATAAATGACTATCTTACCTAATTTTCTTAATCTATGTTAGTGAATTAACAATTTTCTACCTTTAGGATTGGGAAGTATTTTCTTATAAGAGTTTTAAAATAAAAATTAAATCAATTACCAAGTACTTAGATCAATTGAAATTGTTCTAATTTAAACGAAAATCTTGAGTTTGAGTATTAAAAAAATATAACTATTAAGCCCTTGCAATGTATATGTGTCCTTAAGATATCATAAAATCACAGGGAAAATAATAAACTAAGAAAAAAAATCTTAAAATTGTTTTGGAAAATGACTCCAATAACCGGATGAACTATTTATTGAAGTTACCTCTCTGAAATGAAATTATGAAATGTTCCTATTTTAACATTATACGTCACTTTCAAATATCTCTTATTCTTTTTTTAGCCAATTCAAATCTCTCTTATTCGGATATCAGATCTTTTGTCCAACAAAATTGGGAATCGATAACCGCTGACTTTGACTTGAATCACATCCATTACGTTTACACCTCCCAGCTTTGGCAATTACTTCCACAAATTATCTGCTTGCACCGCAACTGATGATGACTCGCCCCCAGAAAAACACTGAGAATTTTTATTCACGTAAATACCGTTAAAAAATAAATAACTAAAAATACAAAGACATTGGATTCATGGTCTAATTATTTAGGCTTAGCATGCTTATTTTAATTTGTAGGCATCAAATTGCAAACAACCTAACAATTTGCATAGTACGGTCCCAAATTATAAAAGTATAAGACAATTTGAGTTGAGAGTAGACATATACATACAAATAAAGTTTAATAATGACCCTTTATAAACTTATATTTTCAAAATAAAAATAAAAATTTTTAAAAATGTCTTTCACTTAATATAACTTTAAATTTACACTATAATTATTTCAATTCTCTCTCCACTTAGAAGATAATATTGAAAAAATTATTATTAATAACATCTTATTTTTATTAAATTATTTTATATTTTGAAACAATGAAATACTTCCATAATTGTCTTATAATTTGATATGGAGAGGGTATCATGTAAACCCAACACTTTAAATAAGATGGCATATCCTCACACACATAAACATGGCTACTTATATTTGAGGGTGGACAATTGTCCCTCTTCAATTTTGTAATATCTCATGACCTCATGCAAATGTGGATTGAGTTTTGATTTGCTTCACTGATATGTTAGTTTTGAATTCATTGATTGAAAAAAGAATATGAGAAGAGGAAGAGAGACATGACATTCACCTAAAATCTAGGCAAAAGGCTGGGTGTAGGGAGAAGAGTGAGTATAGTTGGACTTGCATATAAGACTTTAGATTTAATGTATTAGGGTGTAAAGTTGATAATGAGACAATTAAAATTTAGAACAACGGGTAGTGAGAGATGATTAATATTTTAGAATAACTTAAATATCATTACAAAAAATAATAATAACTTAAATATTATGAGTGATAATTTTTATTAAAACTTTTATTTCAAACCATTTAATTCTTATGTTTTTTGTAGAATCATTTATTTTATTCTTTAATTTTTTCTAAAATCATTTATCTAGTTTTAAATAATTTTGACCTTTACATATTCAATTTGCTGTTTAAATTTCTTTTGGTAAATCAAGTTGGTTTATGCTGTAGAGGTCAAATTATTATTTAATTTAAACAAGTGATATTCGGCTTTCGAATCTCAAACTCTTACAGAAATACAAAAACCTACTTCATGTGGTTCTACTCACGCATTTTCATATGTTGGGCCAATTAAATTTTGCTATTGATAATTAGAGCATATATCATTCACGTCTAACTAAAAATATTGTCTGTTTGGAATGCAAGACACAGCTTTTTTTCTGTAAATTACTTCCTCTAGTCCTTATTCTATATAAGAATGCCTTAGTGTTATGTTTAGATGTATGTCCATTATTTGGGTCATTAAAAATGTAAAGATTTTTATTTAACTCGAATCCAAATCATGCTTCAATCCTTTTATAATTTCAAATCATTTATAAACTCCTATTATTTTAAATTTTAATGAAGCTTCTCTCTTCCTTTGCGTTCGTTCATTCATTGATTGGCATCATCGGGATTGGACCATCGATGACAAGCGAGATCGGACTGTCGGCACCGACCACCACAGGATGGCAAACTTTGACTGGGACTGGACCATCAACATTGACTGGGACCGATGGCTAACTTTTATCGAGACAAGATGACAAACTAAAACTAGGATAAGACCATTAGCGTTGACTGAGACTAAATCGCCGACTTCAATCGGGACATCAGTTTACATATATATCACACACATCAGTTTCACCATTTGGTTTTCAATCAATTTATTCTTTTTTATTTCTAGTTATATTTTCAATTAGATTTTACTTTTATATTAATTTTAATGTTATTACTTTATTGTATTGTAGTTAGTAAGTTATTTCAATTATTATATATTATAATTGATAAATTAGGTTATATATTTACACTAACAGTCCTAAAGTATATTTGAGATATTTAAAATTAAAATGTGAGCTTATTTAAAGGGTTTACTTTTAAGTAGACTTTCAAATAGACTTTGAGGTCAGGTTAAGTTTTAGATAAGCTCAGACTTGAGTTGTGAGAAAAACCTTATATAGGCTCGGCCTATTTAGCCAAATTGCAACTCCACCTAACCTATTTTCACCCTTGTCCTGGTTAGCCTTGACGATTCGGTTTTAGTTTGTAATCCTGTCATGGTCAGCACTAGATGTCTAGTCTTTGCTAGTGTCGGCAATTCGGTTTTACTGGAAGTCAGTTGTTTGGTCCTTGTTGACAGTTTGATTTTAGTCAACATCAACAATCAAATCCTATGGAAATTGATAGTCTAGTCCCGATTAGCATTTAAGTCTAGTCCCGTTGAAGTTGGTGGTCAGTCTCGTTCAATGTTGGCGGTCTTGTCCCAGTTAAGACGGGATTATTGACATCTAAGTTGCCTTTAAATTTAAATATAAAATTTAAAATTTTACTTAAGATTCAAACAAAAGGTTTTAATATTCTAATTTAAAATTTTTATATCATTCCAACAAAAAATTTATAATTTATGAATTTTAAATGTGATATTTCAAATTTAAATTCTCAACCTAAATCCAAACATCTAAATGCAACCTAAAGGTTGGAGATGATAGGGTTTGAGGTTATTCACGGGTTCCACAATACAATGAAAAGGAGAAGACAACAGAGGGTGTTAAGTGTAGTATCATATGTTTCTGTGCCAGTGATTCCTGAATTCAATACTCCCTCCGATTTAAGCTTGAACTGAACCTGATCAGGCTCTGCTATAAATGAATGATTTAAGCTTGGCCGGCTAAAGCCTGTACTGATTTTCTTGCCCCCTCTCATGTTCCGGCCTAGAAGCCTTTGTTATTGTTTGGTTGGTAATGAATTGTTTATACCAACGTGCTGATAATCTTTGAGTTCTCTTCAGGGTAGAATAATCAACATGGTATAGACCGAATCTTCTTGTATAGCCACGTATCCACGAAAAGTTGTCAAGCAAGGACCAGACAAAATATCCTCTCACATCTGCTCCCTTCCTGATCACATGGTAAGAGAGAATGAAAGAACAGAAAAAACAACCATAATTTAGATGTTTATGCGTCGGTGTTTCATTAGTCTTAATGCAAATATCAACATTTCGTCAGACAAATTTATAGTAAATGTAATGGCAGAGTATAATGAACAAGAAAAGTGTATCCTAATGATCTGCTTGACATTAATGTTTTTGTTTATTTAATATTCTTACCTTATTGCTGAAAGAAGGGCATCCAAGTGATCTTCCAAGAACTTCATTCTCTTTACGTCATTAACATGTTCTTCCAAGGTGGAATTTTGATTATTCTTTTCAGCATAGCCTAAAAAAATGGTTTAGATTGTTGATAAATGCACAGAGACAGGATTAAACTAAATAACTGCTTCATTTTTCCCTCACCATTTTCTGTTATGAACATTGGAATGTTGTTGTATCTGTCTTTCGCGTATGTGATAACTTTTTCCATGCCTTGTGGGTAACTATACCAACCAATTGGGGTCTGCATGATAGTAAATTCTTCAGAGAAAACCACTGTTTTGTTGTAGTGAATACATGTTCAATGGAATTTCATTTTGATTATGTAATGGATTCACTCTAAGCCTAAATAATAATATTTTGCAAGGGAAAATGGAATGATCATCATAGAGTTGAGGCTACTTACAGGTTCTCCAATGGGCACACCATTTTTCTCTGTACTTCTTAGGTACAAACCCTCTGTTCTAGTGACTCCAGTTCCAGGTTCACATTTTGAGGAAATGCAGTCTTGGACATAGTAACTGGTATAGTAATTCATGCCTAGGAAATCCAATCCTTTATTGAGTTTTATCATTTCAGTGCTGGAAAATTTGGGCAAGATAGTCCCCAGAATTTTCTCCATCTCAGAAGGGTACTTTCCAAAGATAATTGGGTCCAAGAACCTGCATCACGATAAGTATTTGTGGATGGCACA